TTTAGTTTATGATTTCAGTGTTATATACCCAAAATTTAAGTGTTGTGATTTACAGATTCTCGTTGCGATTTACGGATTATCGTTGCGATTTACAGATTCTCGTTGCGATTTACGGATTATCGTTGCGATTTACGGATACGCGTTGCGATTTACGGATTATCGTTGCGATTTACGGATACGCGTTGCGATTTACGGATACGCATTGCGATTTACGGATACGCGTTGCGATTTACGGATACACGTTGCAGTTTACGGATACGCGTTGCGATTTACGGATACGCGTTGCGATATACGGATACGCATTGCGATTTACCCATACGCGTTGCGATTTACGGATACACGTTGCGATTTACGGATACGCGTTGCGATTTATGTGTTCGCGTTGCGATTTTCATATTCGCGTTGCGATTATGGAAAATCGCAATGCGAATTTGTACTATCGCATCGCGATTTTCAAGAATCGCGTTGCGATTTTGGAAACTGATTTGCGATTCTGGGGATCGCGTTGCGATTTTTATTTCGCGTTGCGATTTTGTTGGTCATTTTGGCAAATCCAAAAAAAGTTGGTTAAAATCGTATATTATAACTTTTTTTTGGTCACTGAGGCGATTCTCTCTTTAAAATATTATTTTTATATCAAAAATATTAATATAAAAAATATTTATTCTAAAGAAATTAACTTTTTTGATAAAAATAATAATATTTTAGATATCGTCTTATCAAAAATATTAAAAAATATATTAATATTTTTGAGTCGACTGTTCAGAACTCAAAATTAAAACGCCTTTTCACGCTTTCTGTCCGTATGGCAACCGAAGCTTGAGCGCGTTCTTTTGAAAGTCCGTGTATCTTTTTTTATTTGGAAACTGAATGATTTTAGCGAGTTGTATCTAGTTTTTAGGGTGAATTATATAGAATGTCATTCGATTGTTAATAAGATTGTAAATAAGTCATGAAAATTGTAAACATGTCATTTTATTTATCGATTATAATAAATAGATAACTTTATTATATAGTGTGGGATGAACGTTAACTTTCTAATTATAACTTAGTGTCTTGATTCTTATAATCGATAAATAAAATAAGTTGATTGTGATTCATAAATAAAATAATCTGATTGTAACTAAAAATTTAATATGTGTTAAATGCTTAATGACACGGTGATTTGATTGTTATAATTAGGGATAGCCACGAGGTTAGACGATTGATTTTTTTTTTTATTGTTGTCACATTTTCAAAAACAAAATTAAAGACTTTCACTCTACCCCACTCACTCGAATATTTAATAATGTTTAATGCACCCTAAATTGTAGGGTCAAAACATGTCGTGCTCTAATAAGAATATTTTTTTATTTCATATGACAGAGAAATAATTGAAAAGTATACATAGATATTTATTAATAACTATCCTTAAAAATGTAGAAGACATTATTGTAATTATATAGGTTATGTCGAGGCTTTTCTTATCTTAAATATGATTTCGTTTTAACCCTGACTCTACCTTCATAAGGCATATTTCAAATCTTAATTTTTTTAAAAAAATCAAATAAGATCAGATTAAAGAGAATGATTTTTGGAGCATGGAAAATTCTGCTACACTTAGTTGGGGCATCAATAGAAACTTGGCACTCCCTTATATGGTTCCCTCACCATTTACCCAAGCATTGTTTGATTGTATGGATGGCTCTTTTAGATCGACTTCCTACTCGAGACCGACTCATTCGTATGGAGATTTCTACTAATGGAATTTGTGTCCTATTTAATGAAATGATGGAAAACCGTAATCATTTGTTCTTCGATTGCTCGTATGCTTCTTTTTTTAGGGAGAAAATTCTTCTCCTAAATGGACTAAAGAAGACAATTGATTCTTGGGAGAATATGGTAACTTGGGCTTCCAACACATGGAAAGGAAAATCTCTTATCTCTACTATTCTTAAACTTGCTTGGTGTGCAAGCAACTATGTCTTGTGGGAGGAACGCAATCGAAGAATATTCAAAGGAATCTCAAAAAAGAGATGAAATCCTTAGCAACGTCAAAGAATTCGTAGGAATTAAACTAAGGGGGAAAAAGATAAATAGGCATGATTATGTTAACTCCAATATTTGTATATCTTGGGGTATTGATTAGTCGATCATCCTTTTGTAATTGAGTGTATATTTTTTCTAATCGGTGTTTTTTGTAGCAGACATTGCTTCCTTGGGTAATAAAAGCGATTAAAATATGTCTAGTTCAGGTATTTAACAATCTCTAATTACAATTGATAAATAAAATGATTCATTTCTAACTTTTTAAAATTCAACGACCCATTTGTAATTTTATTAACACTTGACTGATATGTGAATGTCATTTACGCTTTTTACCCGAAAAAATAAAAAACTGAAACCAGAAAGCAACAGTAACCCCAAATTTCAACCAAATTCCCCCGCTGTTACAGAGAAAAAAAATTTAGACAAACGACCCACCATTAAAGCTGTTAATAAAAAAAACTTAATATTACGCGGCGGATCTAATTATAGGTTCTGAGATTCACTCGTTTTCTCCTTCTGATAATATATATAAACGGTCTCCTTTTTTTTTTTAAGTCGGTCAGAGAACAAATTCTCATCTCGAAAACATCAATCTTCTCCCTACTTTGCTTCTTTGGTTTTTTTTCGTATAGTTGTTAGTGTTATTGTTACTAGTATCGATCCATGTCGGTTTCGGGTATCCATGGCCATATTCTTGAGGTTACTGGTATGGAAAGTTTCATAAAATTGGATTTGTTTTTTACTTTATTATGGGTGATTTGTGATTTTTGTATTTTTTTAATGTTGGATTTCTTTTGTTTTTATCGATCGAAGTCGTCGGATGCAACAAGTTGAAAGATACTGAGTGGATTTCAAGGCAAGATCCTTATGTCTGTCTTGAATATGGCAGCACCAAGTACCGTACAAGAACTTGCACCGGTAATTACTAATTATCTCTCTCAGCATATAACTATTTTCCCCTTTAGGGTTCTTGATCTGTGATTTGGGATCCAAGTAAAATTTCAACATCTTTGTTCTGATTTATGATTTGGGTTCCTTTTAGATGGTGGCAAAGCGCCTGTATTCCAAGAGAGGTTCACTTTCACTTTGATTGAAGGGCTTAGAGAGATCAATGTCGTGGTTTGGAACAGCAATACTTTGACTTTTGATGATTTTATTGGCAGTGGAAAGTAAGAAACCCAGGAATTAAGGATTTGAATTGTTTTACTTTTTTGCTTTTTGAGAAGATGTGTTCTTATTTGTTTTTTTATTCTAATGTTTGCTCTTTTGTTGGGTGTTTTGGATTACAGGGTTCAATTGAATAAGGTTCTTTCCCAGGGCTTTGATGATGCTCCTTGGCCACTCCAGACTAAAACCGGAAGGTAAACAAATGAAATCGAATGATAGAGTGATAGTTTTTTGCATGTATTGGAATAAGACTGTGTTTCCATGAATAATCTAATGGCACTCAAGATCGATGTTTCTGCTATCACAAAAATTCAATCGTGCAATCAATATTTCTTTAATCTCATCAATTCGACCGTATGGCAATAATCACTTTGAATGGTTAGCAATATCAACTATGAAACCCTTTTTCTAGTTTGTCTGAATCTCATCTAGAGCTTACAACTACAAATAATGTGGGAAAGAGAGTCGGTTCTCGTAGCCATGTATGCATATGTGGCAGTTGCCCTCAAGCAGAAAGATATTTCTTAGTGTAGCTTCTTTTTGGTTTGTGGTCGTTTGTAAGATAGCATGATTTAAGCTTTTGACAAATTAATTGGTTGGTTATAACTTCAAGCTATGTTCTGCTCGACTTTTCGAGGTTTAATTAAGTTTCATCGATAGCAGTTGTGTTTTTTGAAACCTTATTTGTCAGTCAATAAGAAAAGTCAGTTCCTAGCTCAGTTATCAACTTAATCCAATTTGTTTGACATGGAAACATGAAGCTAAGTTTAGAAACTTACCAAATAAATTGAATTTCGTTGACTTTTAAATTGCCAAGCTAAGCTCATATCATGTTCCCGGCTTCTGGATTGCAAAAACCATTTTCGGTTTTCCTATATTGCAATCTTTCATATCTATGGCCTCTTACTCTTTTCATATTTGCAGATATGCTGGAGAAGTGCGGCTCATAATGCATTACTCAAATGCCAAGGTAAGTTCGATCTGTTGTACTTCAATTCGTGATCTCCATTAATATTATTCACAAACAAGTGGGAACTAAATTTTTATTCGAATTGTTGCAGCACCAAGCCTCAGCATATGCTCCAACGGCACCACCATACGCAGCTCCTCCTCCGCATGTCCCTCAATATTCCATACCTCCACCAACTTATTCAGCTTCTTATCCGCCACCAGCTACAACATATCCGAATCCATCATCATATCCATCATATCCTTCATCCACATATCCTCCTGCACCTTCTGCATACCCTCCTCCACCTTCTGCATACCCTCCACCACCAGCACCTTCATCGTATCCCCAATCTACATACCCACCACCGCCTTCATCGTATCCCCCGTCTGCATATCCACAACCTTCATCGTATCCCCCATCTACATATCCACCACCTTCATCATATCCCCCAGGTAACTTCATACATTTTAAATATTTCAATGCTACTATTCACATGTGAAATATAGTAATGAAGTTTGTTTCTGTTCCGCTTTCAAACAGGTCCTTATCCAGGTCTTTATCCACCACCACCGTACTAAAACTATCGGCAAGGAGACAATCAAAGTCGAAGTTCTTAATGTTAGAAACTCCTCATAAAGGGTTGGGACTATTGTTTGAATCTCTTTGGAAGCAAAATCTCGGAACTTGATAGCCATTGTATAGCTTAAACTGTTTATATATTTCAGTTTGTGAAATGCTTTTGGGTTTTTATTTATTTATTTATGGTTAAATTCTTTGTTTTGTTGGACATGAGCACCACCAACCTATGTGAATTGGACTTGTATTCTAGACCATAGAAATGTGTTGAATACAGATACTTTAAGAAAAAGTAAAAGTCCTACTAATATAGTTGATGACAAAATCTCCGGAATAATAACAATCAAAGACGAAACTAGAATTATAACAGTCTAAGACGAGACCCCTAGAATGATAACAGTGAAAATTATGTTACGTGTATGATCATTTGATGAGAATGCATCTGATGGGTGATCCTTCAGAACCAAGCAACCTTAAAGGTAAGCAATGTACGTTATATATTCCAGCAGGAACATCATCAAGCTTCAAGCCCTCCACTAGAATCACTTCCTGTATCACATTGAATTATCTATCTTTTAGAATGAAACTCAAATATGAGAATGTATCCGAGACGAGTTTGTCATGCCATGATCCATTCAATCCTTGGGGGTACTTTATAGATTCGAACCTGAAACATGGAGCATATATGAATGCACCTAAATAATTTTGTAGGGTGCATTCATATATGTATTACGTTTCGGGTTTGAAATGGTTTGCAAAACTTTCCATATTCAATAAACATGTTAGAATATGTAATAACAAAGAATCCGACTTTGAAAACCTATCTTAATTCCTTAAGACAGAAAGGTCAAATTGTGATTTTGGTCCCTTCAAATGCTCACATTTAAGATTTAGTCTATATTTTAATTTGGCATGATTTACAACCTCTACTTTATAGGGTGATCATTAGTTAGTACAAATAGTTAATACCATTAACTAATCTAATAAAAATGCTTACGTAGATTTGCTAAGACGAACACCTCTTCCAATTCATTATGTGGACATGAATTTTATTTTGTTTTCCTTGTGTGTGTGATGGAAGGAGTATTTTTAAGAAAATTCACATCGGTATTTTAATTGAAAATCCAACTATTTTGACCAACTAATGATGTTATATATGTATGGGGACTAAATTATCAAATTAAAGCATAGAAAGATTAAATCTAAAGGTTGAGCATAGTAGAGGGACCAAAACAATAATTTGAGCACATATAGAAGTTATAAAGTTATTTGATGTCGAAGAGCAAGTTCCTTACCCTCCCTTCGAAGAACTCAAGATGAGCTGGAACCAAATGATCATAGCTTGCAGCAGATAAGAAATCGATTCCTGCATTTCCACAGCAATTAAATTCGTCACTATGATTACTTATTTTGCAAGGAAACAAACATAGCAACACCAATGCACTAATCAGAAATCGAGTAATGCAGAGCTCGAAGTATTGCTTGTTTGGCTCATGCACTATGATTACTTATTTCGCAAGGATATAAACATAATCAAATGCAACTACATTTAAAAGGTGACATCTTAACAAGTCCGGGGGCGAAATCTAGCAATGAAGTTAACAACATAGCTCAAATCTCTTATACCCTAAAAGCCTCTATCTTAGTTTCCCATGGAAACTCAGTATGGTAAATTCAAACTCCACGGATACTTCAAATAGATGAAAATAAAAGAAATCAATATATATGTATCCGGCACTCACGCTGAAATTTGGGTAACGTAGCTCTTACCTACAAGTTTGATGTCAGTGTTCTCTACCAACCATCTTGCCCCGTCTGTTGTAAATCCAACATAGCTTGAATCAAATTCCCTTCTAAACATAAGCCGCCTGAAATTGAAATTTTGCGATTTTAGGTTGAAGTCTCGCACAGATTTTTTATGATTTACGTCGGAGTTATTTTCTAGTTTGTGGACAGGGTTGTTCGAGTTGATAACTTAACGCTACTTGGACTTTTTCGTTTTTCTTAAATTACTCGAGTCTTCACCTATGTACAAATATAGGCAATGAAGTATGTGAAGAAACATAGCTCGATATGTGAAGAAACATACTCGTACTCGATACATACTCGTAATGATACCTGACGTTAAATCAGGGTAACTCCTAAATGACTCGATACTCAACATCAAATCTAGGTAACATAGCATGTAATTTCCTGAATTACTCATGTTCTCATCTGTGTCCAACTCATTCGAATATAAGTATGATCCTCCAAAGATATGAAAAAAACAACAACATAGAAACAATTCGAGTGTACCTTATTACATGCATGATATTCCTATTGATATTCAACATCCAAATCCGAGTAACACAACATATAACTTCCTAAATCATTCGTGCTCCCAATCTAATGTCCAATACATTCAAATGTAAGTATGATCCTCCAAAGATACAAAGAAATTACTGAGAGTAACTTACTAGATACATACTCGCGTCAATATACGCCATCAAACCCGGCCCGGGTAACATTAACATAGCAATGTAATATCCTAAATCACTCTATGTCCAACACATTCAGATACGGATAATATCCTCCAAAGATGCGAAGAAACATCAAAATAAATCAAATGTAATCATATTCGACACATACTCGTATCTATACTCACCATCAAGTCCGACACAGAATGTAATCAAGTGTTTCAGTGTTGAATTAATCACGATACCTGTCAGTATTCAATGTCCTAAAAAGAACACGGCGCACTCCTTTAGGAATGTTCAATGACTCCATCACTTGGGCTGCAACAAATTAAGAACAAAACAGAAGATTATTAGTTACAATCGGATCATACACAGCCAAATAATTGAACTTGGTGTTGGAGATCAATACCAGTTATATTACTATTCCTCGGCACATCGAGTAACACAGCTGGCCCTGCGGTCAAACATTTTACAGTTATATTACTATAGCTGTAAACGAGCCGAGTTGAATTCAAGTATTGTTGAGTTCGACTCGACTTGAAAAGTTCAAGCTCGCGAGTTTAAACTTGTTAAACTCGACTCGAACTTGAAATAAAAAATTGATGCTTGACTCAAGCTCGAAAAAATTTGAACTTAAAACATTCTCAGACTTACATGAAAACCTTACATTGCATTTTCTGAAAAAAAGCCAACATATAAGTGTTAAACGTTATACATTATGTTGCTCGAGAGTTTTTCGAGTCGGGTGTCAAATAGTTTGCTTCAGTTCGTTATGAACTCGAATCGAGTTTGAGCTCGAGTCTATTCAATTTGAGAAGGCACCCCTGTCCCCTACTTTAATTTGTCAGAATTTAATTCTTATAAAGAAGAAGTCAATCCATTCAGAAAAAAATGTTAAACGTTGTCATTAAATCGTTGATATTAAAAATCAGCAGCTCAATGATTTATATGTAAGGAATTAGTAAAAGTTAACAACTCAATTTCATATATCTACAGATAACTAAACTAGTTTATGAGTTTTGCTAAGTACGAAGATCAAATGGGTGTTAAAATATAGGGATGATAGTAATAACTAAACAGGGCTAAAAATGTGGAAGACTAGAAATGATCAAATAATAGAAGGACTAAATCGCTAAAAACTTATAGTATTAGGATCTTCTACAAAATTTGACCGTAGAAAAGAAGCTCAACAATGGCTATGGGTGGTTTTGTTTACCGTTCAGGACGTCAAGGTCAAGGGTGTCAACATCGAACCCGGAATCGAAGTACCGGTCAATCATATGACCCGGCGCGTCGACGTGAGTGCCGGTGTGAACCGACACAAATTTCATCAGGGAATTATTGGATCGGGAGCCATTCTTCATGCTGGCCGGAAGCCAAAGGAACTGACCCAGACCGTCTTTGCTATCCCACGACGGCATATCCACAGTGTATCTATGGCTAATATCGAAGATTCTCCCATCGCCGTAAACTTCCCGTCGAACGGGAACCGGGTTTTCATCAGCCGTGGAAACGGTGCAGTCCGTTGGCACTGAGGGGTATGCGGGACAGGAATCAGAGGAGGAGGCGACGGTTATGACTGTTGATAAGAGAAGGAGAAGCAGAGGAGAAGACATGGTGTTTGATCAAATTATTGCAGTAGCTGAAGCCTTAACTATATTTAATATATATACACAGTGACAGATTCGACTGCCGTCCGGAAATGTTGTTGCTTGACCATTTGTCTTTAGACAAAAAGGATCATTTCTGTATTTTCCAAAATATCGTTGGTTTATTTTAGTTTTTAGTCTCTCTACTATACTAAAAACTTGTATTTTAGTCTTTGTACTTGTATTTAACATAATTTACTTCTCTGATTTTATTAGGTCTAAATTGATAACACCATTAAATATTGAGAAAATAACCTCAGTGACCAAAAATCCCAGATAATACATGATTTTGACCAACTTTTTTTTGATTTGCGAAAATGACCAACAAAATCGCAATGCGATCTCTAATTCGCATTGCGATCTCTACTATCGTAAATTCGCGTGATTTTTCATTTCGTGTTGCGATTTTCCAAATTCGTTGTTATAGTAAAAAAAAGATTTTGTTTCTTAAGAATTTTCTCTAAAAAGATAGTATCCGCGCGTACGTATCGAAGACACGTATTACCACGACCACGACCACGACCCGAGACGGCGGCGGCGGCGGCGCGCGAGAGTCCCCCTTGTTCTCTTCCACTCAACAAGGAAGTGGGAAATTCAAGCCTTAAATACCATTCCCAATAGTATTTCCAATACTATTGGGATTGAGCATTACCAACACCATAAAATCTTAGTTCCCGACCACATATCAAAACCGTTTGATTATTTCAGATTCATTCGATTAAAGAACAAGAAAGATATATACCAGACCACATATTTGCGATCTCTTTCCATTATCACTTGAAAGGCATGAGTCATATCTAGTTCACTGCTACTTCCCTAACTTGACTTTCAAAAACAGAAAACAGTGGAGAATGAACATAGACAACTATTGTTAACTCAATCAATAACAGACGACACCGCAAATCAAGCCCTTGAACCAATCATTTTAGCGATTAATTTCCAATAAGTTACTCTTAATACTCATGGATAACCATCATAAGACGCATTAAAACTACCGATCAAGTAAGATTATCTAATACTTTCACATGTTCTGCTACCATAATATTAACTGAATAGAAATGTTTCGAGGAGAAAACAACTGCCTGTACTTATTTACTATATTCTATTAGCATTTTCCTATGCAGAGATTTAGAAAAATACACATATATCAAAGAAATGCATGCTCATTACATAGTCAAGGAAGCACTAAAACAGATGCTTATGTATGCAATTTAACAGTCCCTTCATATTTCGGTCTCTTTGATTAGTAAGTGGTGGTCGGGAACTAAGATTCTATGGTGTTGGTAATGCTCAATCCCACATAGTATTGGAAACACTATTGGGAATGATATTTAAGGCTTGAATTTCCCACTTCCTTGTTGAGTGGAAGAGAACAAGAGGGACTCTCGCGCGCCGCCGCCGCCGCCGTCTCGGGTCGGGTCGGGTCGGGTCGGGTCGGGTCGGGGTCGTGGTCGTGGTCGTGGTAATACGTGTCTTCGACACGTCCGCGCGGATACTATCTTTTTAGAAAAAATTATTAAGAAACAAAATCTTTTTTTTTAACTTTCGCAACGAATTTGGAAAATCGCAACGACAACTGTAGACTATCGCAACGAATTAGAGATCGCATTGCGATTTTGTTGGTCATTTTTGCAAATCCAAAAAAAGTTGGTCAAAATCGTGTATTATCTAAGATTTTTAGTCACTGAGGTTATTTTCTCTTAAATATTTTTGTGGAAGTAATGTTAGTGAATACTTCTACTGTCATTCGACCAAACATTTAGGATCTTTTGAAAACTTCAATTAATCATGTCCAACTAAGAATAAATTTATAGTTAAATTCTATCTTTAGTCCCTATCCATGTGTAAGTTATATTTTTGTCTTTATATTTTTTAAAAATTTAAAATTTCGATCCAAACTCAAATGTTAGAAAGATAATGTAACTATAATGCAACTAATTTACAGAGACTATAATGAACAAGTTGGGAAATTTAACTAAGTCCAAAACTTGCACATAAAATAAGGATTAATTAAAAAAATTATAGCTCAATTACCAAAATGAGATAACTTTACTCTATTTTTATTTAAAAAATAAAAAATATATATTAATATTTGTTTCTCAATTTTAATTAAGATATTTTTTAAAATTATCTCAATTATATTCTGATCAATATAACGAATCAAACTACCTTAGTGTCAAAGGAATGGGTGTCATCCCTGGAGGTTCCAAATTTAAACACCGAAGACTGTAAAAATATTTGAACATTCATTGTCAAACGATTGTTAATCAATAAATTTTTAAAACATATACTATTTTACAACAAAATGAAGTCCGACAAACCACATTGAAACTAAAAGCTCAACATCAACTCAAAGGGACATTTGGAACGTCAAGGACGACGACATATCGAAGCTACATTTGCTTTAGGCATAATATCAAAATTAACCGTCAACGTTTATCCAAACGGTCATTTCGCCTCCTATTTCATATTTTAGAGCATTTTGGCCCCTAACGATTCATTTTAAGGCAAAAAACCCTAACATTTGATAAAATAATCACTTTGTCCCCTTTTTTTGGAGACATTTTAGCCATCAACGTTTCATTCAAGTTAAAAAAGAATTATATTTTGGAGTGTTAATCTTGGGTTAGAGGGAGCTTTTTCCCCAAAGTGAAGGGGCCAAAATGCTAAAATAAAAAAATATGGGCTAAAATGACTATTTTGATAAACGTTAAGATGCTATTTTTTACATTACTCTTTTATTTTACTAGACTAATACCTTTTAATACCGTAATCTAGTCTGGTAGTCCAAATTGAAGTTAAAAGGTCAACATTGGCTCGAAGAAGCAACAAAGACGACGACGATGGAAAACATAATCGAGTCAAGCTCAACATAAAATGCTAGAAACAAATAGAACAAGGACATGATGAAGCCTCGGGACCTTGAAAGATTACCCTGTTTTGGGAGTTTAGAAAGGGGAAGATTGCGACGGGGGCGCATTGAAGTTGGTAAGAAATGCATCGGCCAACATGTGCCCCAACGCAACCTCAGCCTCGGTCATCAAGTGAAGATTGTCCTCCTTCAAAACCAGCCCTTTGGCATCCACGCATGTTACATTCGGCAGATCCATCCCCAGTTGTGCTTCTCTCACTTTCTCCATGTATTCAAACCCCGATGCAATCGCAACCTGCTTAATATTCTCCACATTTTAAGTATTACGCTATCAGCAATAGTATTTGTGTCCCACACATGAATATATTTACAAAAATCTAAATTCGAATCATATATATGTTAGATACGTATTACACTGAGTCTAAGTAACATAGGTCTAAATCAAATACAGGAAAAATTTAATGAATCAAACCTGAATGATTGGAAGTGAAGGCAAGCCAAGATCCTCACGCACATTATGAATCAACCTCTCCATGTTTTCCTTGTACGCTTCAGCATCTTGAAGCGACGATGTATCGCTCTCCCCTTGGTACCAAAGCAAAGCCTTGATTTCCCCATTAGTCTTCATACTCTCTTTACTTCTCTTAAGCATATTGTCATACAGAAGCTGCCCGCGATCCCACTCCTTGATGGCTGTACCACCCACGGCGCAAGGAACCAGACCCAGGCACCCGCCACCCATATGATCTCTCACCGCGTTGGCGAACGACATTCCGGGCCCCACTCCACATACCTTGCCAGTGTCGATGTCGTGGTGGAGCGGCTCCCGCGCGGGCTCCCAGTTGAGGGTGGCGCTGAGGCGGAGGATGGAAGGGTGAGGTTGACACTCCGGTGGGATGGCGCCGTCCCAGATGCGAGGGTGCTTGGAGACGCCACCTCGGCCTGACATGTTGCTTTGGCCGGAGAGAATGAAAATGTGTTTGGGAGTTAGCGGGAACTGATCTCGTTCCGCAACAGGGGTGTCTATCATGTCCATGGTTTTCTGGGATTTTTTTCTTCGACGATTGTTATCACAACAAAGGATTTGTTTTGGTTAGGAAGTTGAAGCTAAATTGGGATCTTGATGTCGGTCGCACAGTGTGTATTATCGTTTGTTTTTTTCCTTTTTGAGATGCATTAAATGCACAGTATAGTAATTGTAACTGAATTTTTCTGAAGATTTTATTTAAATCCTCCAACTTTTAAAATTTATAATATAATCCATTAGAAGACAGTGACGCGGTAGTGAGATTACCGTTTGCAACTATGAAAATTAAGGTAAATTATATAAATGGTCACGGAATTTTTTAAGTGCTTCATTTAGGTCCCCCAACTTTTAAAACATGCAAAATAGTCCTCAATTTCATTCTAAATCCCAAATTCCAAAATAATTCAATTACATTCTAAACCCAAAATTCCAAAATAATATTGATTTAACCAAGATTTATATAATTTTTTTATTTTTTGATGTTTTGATTGAGTTGTATTCAGTGAAAATTGATTGTTACTGTTCAATTGAGTTCATGTGCAATTGAATGGTGTGGTATGTTGATTGTTACTATTCTAAAATTTTATAGATTTAAGTTCATGAAAAAATGTTTCACATTTAAGTCCCAATAACCAATATTTAAATAACATCAATGTTTATAATATTTTATTAAAACTAAGTACCCAATACACATGCAACACAATCTAAAAAACAATAAGAAATTAGAACTCAATATCCAATACCATCAAACGTCATTTACATATGCATACCCCACCATTAAATTGCACATGAACTCAATCGAACAGTAACAATCAATTTTCACTGAATACAACTCAATCAAAACATTAAAAACAAAAAACATTTATATAAATCTTAGTTAACATGAAATCTTGGTTAACTCAATGTAACACCCCAATTTAGGGGCTAAATTTTTAGAAATTATAAAGTATTGGATTTAATTAGTATTTTGAAAGAAACAGTGGATTAAATTGTAAAATTTTAAAGTTGGCAGACCGTTTTAAGAAGTGCAAGAAATTCAGTGGCTAAACTTATGATTTGACCATTATTCTTTAGGAGAAAATATAAATCCCCATTCCATATGTTTTCTGGATAAATTTTCTAGTTTTCCTCTCCTTCAACCCTCCTTTCAACTCCGATCTACTCACCGTCCGAACTCGATCGATGAACCGAAACCACCATCATGTTCGTTTTCGACCGAATAACAAAACCCCTCAAACCTTTCGTTATGAATCGTCGTCGTTCGTCGTTAATTTCAGTTGGAAGTATCTATAATATCCCAAACTACGGGTTAGTGACTAAATTGTAAAATTTTAGAATTTGGTGATAAAAGTAGAATATTTGAATAGTTCAATGATTTATGTGGAGATATTTCTTAAAAATTGTTAGTAAATATTAAAGGATTCAAAGGGCAAATGAGTCATTTAACAAGAAAAATAATTAAATAATAATTAATGTGTATTATAATACCCATGTGGAACATGATTGAAGAGATAAGTTCCATACAATTCTCTTCTTCATTTTCTTCTCTTCTCCACGTGAAAGCTCAAGCAAAGGTGAGTTTCTTAATTAGTTGATTGTTTGTTGAATTAAAGGTTGGGTTTTGAGGAAAGCTTAAGTTATCTTAAAATAAAAAGATAAATGAGTTATGACAGATTAAAGAAAATGAGTTTTTAAGTGAAATTTTAATAAGAAGGTTTAAATGAATTTGGAGGATGAATTTGACTTGTCATAGGTGTGAATAATAAGTTATAAGTGTTAGAAATAAGCTTGGATTACATGGAAATTTTGGTATGATTCTTAGTTTTAAGAATTTGAATGAGATATGAGAAATTCTAAAGTGTTGGAATGATAAAAGTTAGTTAAAATGGTTGTTGTTAAGTTTAATGGTATGAATGGAGTTTTATATGAGGAAATTTAATAAAAAGTTATGGAATTTTCGGGTGAAACCATTTTATTATTGACATGTGCATCGATGCACTAAGACAAAAATTTGAAGGTGCATCGATGCATTAAGGGGTACATCGATGCATGTGAATTTCGAACCTAATTTGGGTACCGATGCATCCATAGTGCATCGGTACACTCCTAAAGGAAAAGTGAATTTTTGGTTTATTAAATTAGCCTAAGTTATTAATACCAAGTTATAAGGTTTAGGCTTCTGAAAATCGTCTCGAAATTTATATTATGTAGATATCGAGCCTAAACGAGTTACGGAACAATCGAAGAGTTAGGATTGAATCAAAGCAAGGCTAAGGTGAGTGCATATGCATAACATGATTATAATAGAATATTCAGTTCTAGACTTGTGATAAGTCTAGATTTAATACTTTGATATATGATTCATTTCATATTATGAAACATGATATGAGTTCATACCATATACATTATGTGACATGAATATGCATGAAAAGTTATATGAGCTATGTGATAAAGGTGTGGAAATGATATGTCTATGAGATATAATAGGCGATTCTTATGTGTGTGATTATGTTTGATATGATTACATGATCATAAGATGTAAACCATGTGATAAGTGATATGCGACTATATGAAATTATGAGACAAGTGATTAAGTGCTTAAGAGATATAAGTAATGAGATAGGTGATATATGAATCACATGGAAATGATTTATGTATAAGTTTATATGTTATTCTATGTGCTATGTGATGTATATATTAACATATGTGAATAAGATATGACATATGTATATGAACAAAGGAGAAATGAAATAAGCTATATGAAACAACCTACGTGATTCCATGCAAAGTGATATGAACTATGTGACATATAAATATGCAATACGTGATATATGTGATATGATATGAAACATATGGTTACACATACATGTGGTATGTGACAGAAGAGAAAGAACAAGTGATATGAAATGTTATAAATGATAATGCCCATGTTATGTAATATGAGAGCTAGTGATATAGTTGACATGCCAAGAGTCGAGGGTTTACGTATGTTCTACGGAACATATGGACAGAATTACCTATGTCTTTCGGGACATATGGACAAAATTGCCTATGTCTTTTGAGACATATGAACAGAATTACCTATGTCTTTTGAGACATATGGACAGTATAACTATGTTCTAAAGAACATATGGACAATTTACCTAGGTTCTTCGGGACCTATGGACAGTTGTCGAGGTTCTTTATAACCTCTGGATAGGTCCTTCGGGATATTTATACGAGCTGTGGTGACAGCATAGTGGTGCACAACCTCAATGTACTCACATACCTTAAGTTCTCAAAAGTATACATGGGCTAATACAAGGGCTTTAAAGAGAGTAAATAAATTAATTGGTATGACACTATGTGTGTTATGTTGTGAAAGGATATATGTGATCCATGATGTGTATAGAAATGTTTAGTATATGCTTATATGATAAAAAGAATTAAGGACATGTGAAAATGTATTAATAAAGAGACAATAACAAATACCATATATGAGATGTATATGCTTGTGGTGATATGAAATGTGTTATAGGAATTACATGATGTTAGGTGTATTATATGTTTTATATACCTCACTAAGTCAACGACTTAGCGTGTGATTGTTTCACGCGTAGGTTCCGAGAAGAGGAATATTGATAAAAGTTATGCAAGATAGGTCAGTTCCTCCTTTCCAAAGATCGGATTAGAAAAGAAATGTATAGTATGTATTTTGTAATAAGGATAGTGGTTGACATGTAAATAAATGATTAAATCCGATATGTTCTAATCGGTTTTGAAAAGTCATACGATTGAGTTTTGTAATGTTTTAAATGCATATATGTAATTGATAAATTTTATACGGATGAAAGCTTAGATTTGTACGAGATTACACGTATTTTTACGAAAGTTACTGTAGCAGTAATGTAGCACTAGTGTAGCAGTACATCGATACACAATTTATATTTAAAAATTTTCACTGTTCATAGTACTGTTCACAAATACATCTTTTTTTCTTAAATTTTTATAATGAAGCATAATTTAATAGTATTTATTGTATTTACTTAATATAAGTTCAAATGTTCAGTTATTTTGTAAAGAAATTATTTTAAAAAGTCAATGTGACATCTCGAACTCGTATATGGGTTGGGTACAGGTTGGGGTGTTACATTTAATGGTATCAGAGCTACGGTTTAGCCGATTCTAGGCTAAAAACGAAGTCAAAAGTGTTTTAAAAATTATACATGCCAACATAAAGTGGAAAATTTTCTGATCTGATAGGGTAAGGAGTGTGTTATCTTATTAATAGAGTTAAATTGTTATGTTATATAAGATAAGTGAATACCTGAGAATGATTTATGATATATATATGTTTATATGATATGATAGATGATATGTGAACATATGAAAATAACATATGTTATATGATATGAATTGGATGATCATATGCACACGTGATATGTGATAGAAGAAATAATATGAGCACATGATTATATGAAAGTTTCCAAAGTGAAATACAAGGCGATATATTGAAGGTAATAGCAATTCACCTGCCCTGGTCAGGCAATGAGAAGAGCAAAAACCTCAGGGAGTGCTTGTATAAGATTAGAGAATATTTTATGATGTGGAAAAATATGTTGTTATCTTTTCAATTTTATAATTCTATAACTCATAGAATGAATGTATCGAAATAGTTAAAAGAGTTAAGAACACCCGAGTTCAAGGGTGAAATTGAGGAAGGTTCGGTTGTTACAGACCTTTAGTTAAATGATATGAAGATAATGCTAGAAGATGTTCATTTCTCCAAAGTGGTGAAATTAAATTGAGTAGTTTTGTTACTACGTGGGCAAACTAGAATATGGTTGTCACCATAAGAACGTTAAAAGATCAAATGACATGGTTATTGTTTGTAGAATAGTTCGAGAATAAGTGTATCAGTGATACGTTTATAAGATGAATGAAATCAGAGTTATAGATTTTAAACAAAGGGATAGTACTGTTCATACCGTATAATATTGTTCACAAATACATATTTTTTCTTAAATTTTTATAATGAAGCATAATTAATAGTATTTATTGTATTTACTTAATATAAGTTC